TTTCCATCTCCTTCTCATCCAGAAAGTCACCAAGGCATTTCTATGTTTCTTTTGTAATTTTTATTTTAGGTTTGGGGGTACTACATGTGAAGGTTTGTTACACAGGTAAACATGTCACGGGGGTTTGTTGTACAGATTATTACATCACTCAGGTATTAAGCTCAGTACCCAGTAGTTATCTTTTCTGCTCCTTTCACTCCTCCCACCCTCCACCCTCAAGGAGGCCCCAGTGTCTATTGTTTCCTTCTTTGTGTTCGTAAGTTCTCATCATTTAGCTCTGATCTGTTTCATTCATAGTTTCATTCATGGCTTCATTTATTCATTCACATCTGCTCCAGTCTTTCCAACTATTGCCTGTTTGTAGTTGAGACACTCAACATCATCCTCATGACTGAATGACTACCATGGTCTCCTTTCTTTTCTTTCTCTTGTTCCCTTCTCCAGTCAGCACAACACATCATACCCAGGTTCATCTCCCTAAAACATGGTTTTCATCTTGCGCCACCAACCTACCCTAAAGCCTTCAGTGGTTCCCTACCGTGTAGGATGAAGTATAACTTGTGAACTTGAGCCTCAGGTCCCCCAGACACCCTTAATCTGATTCTCCTTCCTTCTGTCTTTCTCACTGCTTAAGTCTAGGAACCTTCCAAACATCTAAACTGTTTGCCTGGCCCAGCCCACCATGCCCATTTCTGCCTTCGTGCTGCCTTCCCTCCTCTGTGTTACACCCTATACTTGCCACAAGGCCCAGCTCAGGTCTGGTCTCCTCCAGATGGCTTTCCTAGGTCCGCAGCCCTCAGCATCCCTTGTTTCCTTACCTCCTGCTTTGTTTATTGATGGCCTATACCTCTCATCTCACACACTTAACCTTTACTGCCTATATTGTTTTAGGTAAACTTTTTTCGTTAAAGTAGAACATACATACAGAAAGCTACACAGATCACAGAGTAAAGGACTCAGTGACTTTTCATAAGGTGGACACACCCAGGTCATCAGCATTTCTCTCTTCTGATATGCACTCTCCCTAACGAGATGGTAAGCACTTGGGAAACAGAACTACTTTCCTGTGCCTCTTTGCATGAAAAATGTATAACATCAGGTGCTCAGCAGTATTCCAGATCAGGAACTGAAGCTAAGAAAGAGATCCAGGTTTTTTACAAATAAGAAACATGTAGAAATGTCCCCTGCCCCCTTGATTTGAAGTAATACAATTTGGCAAGTCCTGTTCAGAAATTCCTTGGTGGGAATCTATACATTAGACCTTTAAATCCAGTCTAGACAAGTGCATGTCATAGTTTTCTCTTTCCAGACTTGGGGATGTACATAGACATCTACAGCATTCGTTTTCATTGTCATTTTGTCCAACAGATATTTATTGATCAGATGCAGTCTACTAGATAATGTTTGTTACAGTACAGTAGGATCCAGCTTCTTCCTCTGTAGGGCTTATATTTTAGTGAGTCATTAGAAATAATTGATAGAACTAAAAGAAAGACTTAAGAACAAAGATACGGCCAGGCGCGGTGGCTCATGTCTGGCATCCCAGCACTTTGGGAGGCTGAGGGCAGGTGGATCATGAGGTCAGGAGATCGAGACCATCCTGGCTAACAGTGGAAACCCCGTCTCTACTAAAAATAAAAAAATTAGCCGACGTGTGGTGGGGCCTGTAGTCCCAGCTACTCGGGAGGCTGAGGCGAGGAGATGGCGGTGAACCCGGAGGGTGGAGCTTGCAGTGAGCCGAGATTGTGCTGCACTGCCAGCCCCTGGGCGACAGAGTGAGCCTCCGTCTCAAAAAAAAAAAAAAAAAAGTTACATTGGCGGAATGTGGTGTCTCATGCCTATAATCCCAGCACTATGGGAGGCCAAGGAAAGAGGATCACTTGAGCCCAGGATTTCAAGACCAGCTTGGGCAACATAGCAAGACCCTGTCTCTATTAAGAAAATAAATAAAAAAGGGGGGAAAAAAAAACAAAGAATAAAGATATAACAGGCCGGGCATGGTGGCTCATTCTTGTAATCCCAGCACTTTGAGAGGCCAAGGCAGGCGGATCACCTGAGGTCAGGAGTTCGAGACCAGTCTGGCCAACATGGTGAAACCCTGTCTCTACTGAAAAATACAGAAATTTTCTGGGTGTGGTGGTATATGCCTGTAATCCCAGCTACTTGGGAGGCTTAGGGAGGAGAATCGATTGAACCTGGGAGGCAGAGGTTGTGTTGAGCTGAGATCGCGCCACTGCACTCCAACCTGGGTGACAGAGAGAGAATTATCCGTTACTAAATAATTGTAAACATATAGAGAGGACAAGAACAGAGGTAGGAAGGGTGACATGAAGATTGGCACTGGCACTAGGGTCGTCTGGATGAAAAATCCATTTGTTGTGATATTATCAAAAGGTATGAAAGAACATGGCAACTTACGAAGGTGAAATAAATACAAGGGTAATGATGGCAGAGAGATATTTTAAAACATCATAAGAAATACCATACGGAAATACCATATTGCTACGAAAATACCAATTTTCCATAGCACTTTACAGTTTACAAGGTACTTAAAACCCTGCTCAGTGAGCACACAAGGTACTTGTACTGGTTCTTTTTTTTGGTTTGTTTTTTGGTTTGTTTTTTTGAGACGGAGTTTCTCTTTTGTTGCCCAGGCTAGAGTGCAATAGTGCAATCTCGGCTCACTGCAACCTCCACCTCCCAGATTCAAGCAATTCTCCTCCCTTAGTCTCCTGAGTAGCTGGGATTACAGGCATGTGGCACCACGCCCGGCTAATTTTGTATTTTTAGTAGAGATGGGGTTTCTCCATGTTGGTCAGGCTGGTCTCAAACTCCCGACCTCAGGTGATCCGGCTGCCTCAGAGTGCTGGGATTAAAGGCGTGAGCCACTGCGCCTGGACTTGTACTTGCTCTTATGAGGTCTTTGCCCATTATGATCTTTTGCCCCTGTTGTGGTTGGTGCAGTGGGTGGTGTCTTCTACCCACAGTCACACAGCTTACATGTCTGGGCATACGTTTAGAATCCAGCAGTCTTTCCACAGCCTGCTCTTGCCTTAGTGGACGTGAGAATTTATGTTCAGTTATCTCTCTCAATTTTTCTGTTACTGCATTGCAGTCACATCCCAGCTAACTTCATGATTGCTACATTTGCTGTTTCCTTAAACCTGGAGCAGGAGAATATCCCTGGCAGATTGATCCTGTCTGTAGGCCATCTGCATAAGGCAAAGTTAAGTCATGGGTAGGTCACTTGCAGCTCCTCACGGCGGCCTCCCCACTACTTGAAAACATGGGCACAAAGAGAAGAAGGTAGAGAACCCACAGGCTGCCAATCCTTAAAAAGTAAATTGTTGAAAGTATTATGAGTTTCTTTTTAGTTTTCTTTTGTATTGTCTTTTATTGCCTCTTTGGTTATATGCTTTTCTGTACCTAGAAGGCTTCAGTTTGCAGAGCTATAAATCTGTCAGTCTTAGTGACGTGTCTTTCACTTCAAATTAATGTTCAGCAAAGGGATTAGCAGATAACCATTTCAGGCCGAATTTCTTTACATAAAAGGGTGGATATGGTTTGAGTAGGCTGCCAAAGCCAGGAAGAGAAGTTAATTGTGTAAATCAATGCAGGCAAGAGCTGATCACCTTTCTGAAACACAAGACAATGCAGCACACAACCTCTAAATAGATCTTTGGGGTCAAGTTGATGTTATGTTGAAGAATCAATATTTACTGGACTTTGTAAAGTTAACCTTTAATGAACCCTCAGGCATTTTGCTAGGCCATTAATTGCAGGAAGAGGAAAAGCAATGGTGGCCAAGGTCCGTGTGTGGAGGTTGTATAAAAATAAGTGAAAAGACAATCACTTGCCCATGTGCAAAGGTCCCCTCAAGCATCGTTGGGGACGTGTATCGCAAGGCTTTCTTGGGACCAGGTATGGTGGCTAATGCCTGTAATCTCCGTACTTTGGGAGGCTGAGGTGGAAGGATTGCCTGAGTTCAGGAGTTGAGGCTACAGTGAGCCATGATTACACTACTGCAATCCAAGGTACTCCAGCCTGGGCACCAGAGCGAGAGACCCTATCTCTAAAAATCAAGCAAAGGCTTTCTTGGGATTGTACTGACATTTTAAGAAAGAGCAATTCCTACATCCTAACAGAGGAAGGTACATGCTTTACTCTTTGACAGTCCTTATTCAGGCAGTATGGCTGCATTTTCCTGGGATGAATTCTGATGTCATTTTGGGTCCTGCCTTATAAATGTGGTAATCACAAAGTCCAGTCCCTCTTGAAGTATGTATGGTTCATCCCTCTCTCTGACACACTTGACAGCTTTTATAAAGTACAGGATCATAGTAAAAAGTGTTTATTTTAGGTTGCTGGCTTGAATCCAAGTCTAATAAAGGTATTTGATAAGTAATCACTTGTACTTGTTCTGTTGGCAAGTAAAAGTGTCCCTCGGGTTGTTCTGTGTGTGTGTGCATGTTCTGTGCCCCTCAGTGGCTAGTCTAAATCACTTGTGAGTCAAGAGCCTTATCTTCTATTTATTTTAGTCAGCGCTCCTAACAAATAGGCGTTGATTAGGCATATGTTATGTCAAATTTAACCCTGGTGCAACAAAGCCGGGATCCCTGCATAGTCAGTCATTGGAAGTCAGAAGCAGCCTGGTCAGGCTGTGTGAGTCAGGGTGTGGCCACGGGGCGTTTGCTACAAATTCTTGGTCATATCTGGTCAATAGATGAATATTGGATTTGACTTTTCAGAACCTCTTTCTCTGGTGCATTTGTTAGGGGAGACTTTAGAATTAATCAGAGAGAAGAGCTGGCTGTTCTTTTCTCACTCCCACCCCCATCCCTCCTCTCCTGGATCATTATTCAGAGTAAACACTGAAAAGAAAAAGCATGAGAGGTTTGTTGGGATTGTTGTGGTTTGGTGTTTTTACAAGAGAATCTGATGTTTAATACTTTCATCTATACTTTAAATATTCATTCTGGGTTTTTATTCTTTCTTTTTAGTTGTTTGAGAACTTCTACTTTGGCTCCCTGAAGCTGAATTCAATTCACATCTCTCAGAGGTTCACCATAGACAGCTTTGGAAACTACGCTTCCTGTGGACAAATTGACTTCTCCTGAGGTAGATCTTGGAAAGCACTAGAAACTGAACATCCTCACCAGGTGCTGAAGAAAAGTCTCTTCATTTTATTTGCCAAGCAGAGATGTGCACATTTGGATGGTGACTTTCCTGGGTGGTGCCTCTAATGGTGTCTACAGCCATCAAACTACCAGCCGAGATGGTGGTGGGCATAAAGAGAATTTGTGCCTATAACCCTTAGTGTGTTCTGGTTTTTTTTTCTTTTAATTTTTAAATTGTGGTAAAATACTCATAAAACATACTGTCTTCACCATTTTTAAGTGCACAGTTCAATAACATTAACTGTTAATAGTTCATTTTGCTGTGTGGCCATCACCACCGTCAATCTACATAGGCTTCTCAGCCTGTAAAAAGGAAACTACCCATTAAACAGTCATTCCCACTCCTCCCAGCCCCTGCAGCCACCATTCTGCTTTCTGTCTCTCTGGTTTTGACTGTTCTCAGTATCTCATATAAGTGGAATCATACAGTGACTTGTCTTTTGTGACTGGCTTATTTCACTTAGCATAATGTCCTCAAGGTTCATCCATGTTGTGTCAGGTGACAGGATTTCCTTCCTGTATTATACATATAATGGAATGTTCCGTTACATGTGTGTACCACACTCTGTTTCTCTATCAGTGAGCACTTGGCTTGCTTCCTCTTGACCATTGGGAGTAGTGCTAATACAGACAAGGGTGTCTCTGCCTTTAATTCCTTTACCACCCAGAGTTTTATCTTTAGCAAAATAACTATTAAAGTTTTTTGCCTTTTACTTTGCTTGATCTATCATTTTCCTACCAAAGTTTGTCCTCTTTATATTTGTTGGATTCCTGTTCCTTCACCCCATCTCCACCCTCATCTTCCCATGCCCCTGATGGAGTTGCAGTGTTGTAGCCCTTTTGTGTTTACTTTTCAAGGCAGCAGCAAAAGAAACTTACGATATCAGCAGGACTGTGCAGAGTTCCCTGGAAGAATGTCAGCCACAGGAGGCACTCACTCCTCCCTCACCACGGACCAGCAGAGGGAGAGGAGAATGCTGGGGAGCCCTAGCCTCCCACTCCTCCCTCCTCACATTCTTCCTCCTTCCACGCCCTCTCCTCCTTCTCCTTCCTTATTCTTACCTTGATTCTTTCTTTCTTTCTATTCTTTAAGTCCACTTCTGAACTCTGTGTTAAGTCGCTACATTGTGAGGACTGTGTCTAACACTGAGATTTATTATTGGGACTGCACAAATCACTTGTGAATAAAATGTTTAACAGTTTTTCTGTTAGTATAATCACATAGTTTGAATTTGACCCCCTTCCTGTGTTGGAATACAATGTTGCCCTCACTTATTTACCAGCATAGCTGTGTCATTCATGGAGGACTTACATATTAGTACCTGCAAGGTTGATTTTTTTTTTTTTTTGAGACAGAGTCGCTTTGTCGCCCAGGCTGGAGTGCAGTGGCGTGATCTCAGCTCACTACAAGCTCCACCTCCTGGGTTCACGCCATTTTCCTGCCTCAGCCTCCTAAGTAGCTAGGACTACAAGCGGCTGCCACCATGCCCAGCTAATTTTTGTGTGTGTGTGTATTTTTAGTAGAGACGGGGTTTCACCGTGTTAGCCAGGATGGTCTCGATCTCCTGACCTCGTGATCCACCCATCTCGGCTCCCAAAGTGCTGGGATTACAGGCGTGAACCACCGTGCCCGGCGCAAGGTTAATTTTTTCCCCAGAAGGGCTCCTCTTTCTACGGATATTCATTTTCTATATAAATTGAGATGTTACCTCACCTCAGATTGTTGTTAGATGGCACTTGGGAATGAGTGCTCCAGGGACAGTGCTGAATTCTGAAGCTGACTGTGGAGTTAATGCCCCATCTCCTCTTGGTGTGCCTCTGTCTCGTTGGTTTCTTTCTGACAAGCCATTGGGCAACCTCAGCCAGGAAGTAAATGCCACTTCTTTTGGGTGTCTGAGACTTATGACTAACATTTGTAGGAATTTTTTTTTTTAAGTTTTTTGTCTTTGGAAAATTTAGCTTTATATATTGAATACCAAATTTTTTTTTTTTTTTGAGACAGGGTCTCACTCTGGCACCCAGTCTGAAGTGCAGTGGCACAATCACGGCTCACTGCAGCCTTGACCTCTTGGACTCAAGCTATCCTCCCGCCTCAGCCTACCAAGCAGCCGGGACTACAGGTGTGCCCCACCATGCCTGGCTACTTTTAAAAAAAAAAATTGCAGAGATAGGGTCTTACTGTGTTGCCCAGGCTGATCTCGAACTGCTAGGCTCAAGCCATCTTCCTGCCTTGGCCTCCCAAAGTGTTAGGATTACTGGTGTGAGCCACCACACTGGGCCCAAATACCAAATTCTAAATAGAATTGGAAATTGTGTTATTGAGAATTTAGTGATTACTCTTCCCTATATCTTGTTAAGTAATTCTTCTCAAGTTGTTTGCCTTTTTCCCTCTCTTTCTCTCACAAGTTATAAAGTGAGGTTTTCCACAGGCTCTGTGACATGACAGCATCGTCACTCTGGTGGTTAATGGAATGTGTGTTTGTGTATTTCTGTGTTCTCTAGAGTTTTGTAAGTTGGTAGGTATTGGTAGAATTGGAAAGTTTTTTAAATTTAAATTTTAAAAAATTCATTTTTTTCGCGTGCTGTGGTAGGCAGACATAAAATGTTCTTTCATGAGGTCTGTATTCCAATTTGGGGGACAGTGTAGCTCTAAGGAAATACAGTTTTCAGGGCTGTGGTGGAAGAGGGAGTAACAGTTTTGATGTAGAACTTTTATGAAAAAGCAAAATGGTAGAGAGCAACAACAGTAAAAGGGTTAGAGTTAGGGTTAGAAAAGAATTTTTCTAGATTCAGGCCCCCTCTCACCAAATGATAATGGGGTAAATGTTGGAGGATTTGCTGCTGCTGTGCTTACAATCAAACCTTCCTTCATATTACTGTTTTGTAATTCATTCTACACTGAAATAGTTCATTGTACCTAACACTGCTCCAGCCAGCTTTTGAGGCACTGACTTCGCCCTCAATTCCTCTAAGAGGAAGAGGGAAAAAAATCTCTCACTTGCTACTTCACAGAATCTGTGTTGTTATCCATGGAACTTTGTTATGGAGAGTAATTTTTATTTTAGAAACATTATAAATGTTTCTTGTAATGATTATTTTTAAAGTGAGCTCTAGAGTTTCCAAAACTGGGCGTTGAGTAGAATCCAGCATTGTAATAATTCAGATTTGGTTCCTGTTTTCCCTTGCACTGTGCTGGAACTCACTGTCCTGGAGCTCAAGGGAACCCAGTGGCACTGGAGGTGTATTGAGTCAATGGAACACCTGTCAGCTTCCATCTTGATACCACAGGGAGCATGAATGTTCAAGCCTGTGCTGCCAGAAGTGAGGAAAGTGGCTGCCGTTATGGTTTTTATTACGGCTTTTTTTTTTTTGGTAAAATGTCCTTTTAAATGAAGACAAGTTTACTTTATGAAAAATAACCAAGTTTATGCTTTGTGCTTTTGTCAGTGTGTGTTATACTTCAATTTAAATCGGAGGCTGAAACCAGAGGTTTGCTTGAGGCCAGGAATTCAAGACCAGCGTCGGCAAACTAGCAAGACCCTGTCTCTACAAAAAATAAAAAATAAATGAAAATAAATTTTAGCTTCCAGAGGTAACTACTCCCTATACATTTAGACATATATAAACTATGAGAAGTTAAGAAATTTTTTCACAAATAATAACTAATATTAGTGGAGTGCTCACATATGTTATTTTTTGTACATTAATTCAATCTTTACAATAGCCCACTTAAGTAGGTAATATTGTCCCCATTTTACAAACTGAGGCTTAACAAGGTTAAGAAGTTTTCCTTAAAGTTGGGGGCAGTGGCTCACTTTGGGAGGCAAGAGGATTGCTTAAGCCTAGGAGTTCAAGACCAGGCTGGGCAACATGGTGAAACCCTGTCCCTACCAAAATAAAAGTACAAAAGGAAATTAGCCAGGCATAGTGGCATGTGACTAGTCCCAGCTACTTCAGAAGCTGAGGTGGGATCAATTGAGCCCAGGAGGGCAAGGCTGTAGTGAGCTATGATCACATCACTGCATACCAGCCTGGGTGACAGTGAGACCCTGTCTCAAAAAAAAAAAATTGCCTTAAGTCATATAGATTGTACCAGCAGCTCTCAAAGTGTGGACTTTGGACTTCTAGGAGTCCCCAGGAACCTTTTAGGGGATGTCTATGAGGAGGTCCAAACTGTCTTCATAAGAATACTAAGGTGCTATGTGCCTTTTAAACTCATTCTCTCACTCACGAGTGTTCAGTGGAGTTTTCCAGAGGGTCTGTGACATGGTGACATCACTCTGACGGTTAGTAGAATGTGTGCGTGTGTACTTTTGTTTTCTAGAATATTGTAAATTGATAGGTGTAGGGTATAAATATATGTGTTTTTAGAGATTAACTCAGTTTGCTGCCAGTGCTTCTACCACAGTAGAAGCTCTTACTAGCTATTTTCATTTATACCTGCTGCTGAGTCATGACCACCCAAAATCTACATGTTGAAGCTCTAACTCCCAGTTACTCAGAATGTGACTGTTTATTTGGGGATTGGGCTTTTAGTGGGGTGATTAGGTTAAAATGAGGCTGTTAGGATCAGCCCTAATCCAGTCTGTCTGGTGTCTTTACAAAAAGAGGGAATTTGGACACACAGAGACACCAGACTAGTGTGTGCACAGAGGAAACGAGGACACAGCAAGAAGGCGGCCATCCTGCAGGCCAAGAAGAGAGGGCTTAGAGAAACCAGACCTACCAACAGTTTGATCTTGAACTCTGAGCCTCCAGAACTGTGAGAAAATAATTGTCTATTGTTGAAGCCACCCAGTCTGTGGTACTTTGTTACGGCAGCCCCAGCGACGGATACACTTGCTGTAATGCAGAAGCTTATGTGCAACTCTTGTCTTCCTCTGAGCCAGACACTAAAGAGATTTGTAAAACTGTAAAACAGTGCCACTCTCTTACTAATTTGGGGGAGGAGTGGAGACTGTTGTTTTTCATAAAATATTCTGTTTATATGAAATGGGTACATTTATTTTAAAGTAAAAAAAATTTAATTCTTTGATTTTCAAATACAGTAAATATCACTATATATATAACTCACCTAAACAAAAGTTCTTTGGGGTCCTCAGTAATTTTTTAGTGTTAAGCGCTCCTGATGCCAGAAAGTTTGAGAATGGCTACACTATACTGTACTTCCAAATGGGATCCTATTATATATGATCTTATATAATGAGCTTTTCTCAACCAGCAATACATAGTGGATCACACTGGTCTTTAATAGATACAGATCTACATCATTATTTTTAATGTCTGGACCAGTAGTCTGTTATAGGTATGTTTTATCCTTTAATGGCTAATGGGCATTGAATTGGTTTCCAGTATGGGCTATTATGAACAATTATCTTTGTGAATTTATCTTTTTGTGCTTGTGGGGTCATCTAGAAATGGAATTAAATGGGTTTTAAGATGTATTCAGGCCAGGCATGGTGGCTCACGCTGGTAATTCCAGCACTTTGGGAGGCCAAGGCGGGTGGATCACATGAGATCAGGAGTTTGAGACCAGCCAGACCAACATGGAGAAACCCCATCTCAACTAAAATACAAAATTAGCCGGGTGTGGTGCTGCATGCCTGTAATCCCAGCTACTCAGGAGGCTGAGGCAGGAGATTTGCTTTGGAACCTGGGAGGCAGAGGTTGCAGTGAGCTGAGATTGCGCCATTGCACTCCAGCAAGGGCAACAA